GTCCACAAGGGACACTTTACATTTGTAGAGTTTCTAACCAGCTTTTCAGTACCTATTTCTAAAACATGGGTAGATAGATTGCTGGATATCTCAGGGAAGCCTTTAAATATGAAAGAGAGATAAAAGCAAACAGAAGCAAAGGAACCTGGAAGATAGAGAGACAGTGTAGGGACAGGCAAGTTTCAGCAATGACAACGATGGCAACATCTTGCCTGAGACAGACGAGAAGATGCTGGAGCCCTGAAGTAGTAACAGGATGCTATAAAGAAGGGATAATAATAATTAGTAATGATGTTAACTATTATTAATTATTGGAATAATTAATAATCTTAGAATAATTAAAAATATGATACAGACATATCAGTCCTTCCTTTAAGGAAGACTGATGCTGAAGCTGAAGCTCCAATACTTTGGCCGCTTGATGCAAAGAACCAACTCATTGGAAAAGACTCTGATGCTGGGAAAGATTGAGGGCAAGAGGAGAAGGTGGCGACAGAGAATGCGATGGTTGGATGGTGTCACTGACTCGATGAACATGAGTTTGAGCAAACTCTGGGAGATAGTGAAGGACAGGGAGGCCTGGCATGCTGCAGTCCGTGGGATTACAAAGAGTCAGACACGACTCAGCAGCTGAACAACAGACACAGACACTTCTAAGTTGGAATAGCAAGTTGAAGGAATTCCCCCAAAAGAAAAGAAAAAGAAATAGAAAATAGGAGAGAAAAGAAAAATAGAGTGTTAACTCAAGAGGTCTAATAACCTAGTAAGAGCAGTTCTAGCTAAAAAGGAAAAAACATAAGGAAAAAATATGTCAAAGAAATAATATATTTTTGTAAAACATAAAGACATGGTTCAGATTGAAAGGACCCCTTTAAAGCATACAGACAATGAATGGACATAGACTCAGGACCACAGTGACACTGTCATAAAAAGGAGCTTAGCAATCTGTAGACTCAATGTAATCCCTATCAATCTACCAGGGGTATTCTTCACAGATTCTAGGACAAGTAATTTCACAATTTGTGTGGAAATACAAAAAACCTCCAATAGCCAAAGTAATCTTGAGAAAGAAGAATGGACCTGGAGGAATCAACCTGCCTGACTTCAGGCTCTACTACAAAGCCACAGTCATCAAGACAGTATGGTACTGGCACAAAGACAGAAATATAGATCAATGGAACAAAACAGAAAGCCCAGAGGTAAATCCACATACCTATGGACACCTTATCTTCGACAAAGGAGGCAAGAATATACAATGGAAAAAAGACAACCTCTTTAACAAGTGGTGTTGGGAAAACTGGTCAACCACTTGTAAAAGTGAAACTAGAACACTTTCTAACACCATACACAAAAATAAACTCAAAATGGATTAAAGATCTAAATGTAAGACGAGAAACTATAAAACTCCTAGAGGAGAACATAGGCAAAACACTCTCCAACCTAAATCACAGCAAGATCCTCTATGACCCACCTCCCAGAATATTGGAAATAAAAGCAAAAATAAACAAATGGGACCTAGTTAAACTTAAAAGCTTTTGCACAACAAAGGAAACTATAAGCAAGGTGAAAAGACAGCCTTCAGAATGGGAGAAAATAATAGCAAATGAAGAAACAGACAAAGGATTAATCTCAAAAATATACAAGCAACTCCTGCAGCTCAATTCCAGAAAAATAAATGACCCAATCAAACAATGGGCCAAAGATCTAAACAGACATTTCTCCAAAGAAGACATACAGATGGCTAACAAACACATGAAAAGATGCTCAGCATCACTCATTATCAGAGAAATGCAAATCAAAACCTCAATGAGGTACCATTACACGCCAGTCAGAGTGGCTGCTATCCAAAAGTCTATAAGCAATAAATGCTGGAGAGGGTGTGGAGAAAAGGGAACCCTCTTACACTGTTGGTGGGAATGCAAAATAGTACAGCCACTATGGAGAACAGTGTGGAGATTCCTTAAAAAGCTGGAAATAGAACTGCCATATGACCGAGCAATCCCACTCCTGAGCATATACACTGAGGAAACCAGATCTGAAAGAGACACGTATACCCCAATGTTCATCGCAGCACTGTTTGTAATAGCCAGGACATGGAAGCAACCTAGATGCCCATCAGCAGACGAATGGATAAGAAAGCTGTGGTACATATACACCATGGAATATTACTCAGCTATTAAAAAGAATTCATTTGAGTCAGTTCTAATGAGATGGATAAAACTGGAGCCCATTATACAGAGTGAAGGAAGCCAGAAAGAAAAACACCAATACAGTATACTAATGCATATATATGGAATTTAGAAAGATGGGAACGATAACCCAAATGCAAGACAGAAAAAGAGACACAGATGTATAGAACAGACTTTTGGACTCTATGGGAGAAGGCGAGGGTGGGATGATCTGAGAGAACAGCACTGAAACATGTATATTATCAAGGGTGAAACAGATCACCAGTCCAGGTTGGATGCATGAGACAAGTGCTCAGGGCTGGTGCACTGGGAAGACCCAGAGGGATGGGATGGAGAGGGAGGCAGGAGGGGGGTTCAGGATGGGGAACACATGTAAATCCATGGCTGATTCATGTCAATGTATGGCAGAAACCACTACAATATTGTAAAGGAATTAGCCTCCAACTAAAAACAGAGGAAAAAAAAAAGAAATTTGGGGTGTAAATGGGTCAGCAAAACCGATATATATCAACTGCATTGTGATAAATAAAACTTTCCAAAGTTAAAAAAATTTAAAAAAATAAAAAGGCGCTTAGGAGTTTCCAGAGAGAAAAACAAAATCATTTCCTCCTAAGGACTGGGAACAGTAAATCATGTTGGCTCCAGACTTCTCAACAGCTAGAGCTCTGTGGAGCCACATCTTCAGTTCTGACAGCTATACCCAGACAAGCCACAAATTAAAGTCTGAAGAATTTTATTTCACCCTTTCTCATGAAATTGCTGGAAGTTTTGCATTAGGAAAGGATGCAAAGAGAGTAAATCCAGGAAAAAGAAGTATGTGTGTGTCTGTATGTGTGTGTCGGGGAGGTGGGGTGTCCAGGAACCAGAGGTGAAGAAAATTGCTAGGATGGGGGTGTAGGGAGATGCATTGGCTCAGTCCCCCTTTGGGCCTAGGGAGTAGTGGTCCACTGGGTGTAGGTCAGAAAGTCCTGAGAGAGATGTTTCCAAGGCAATAAAATGAATGAATAAAATGAAATAAAAGACAATTGGGAAGGGAATGGGAGGTGGTTTTGGTAATAAATTAGTACGAAAAACTAGGCAGAAGAAGAAGACAAAATAATGATTAATTCCACGAAAAACAGTGTTGGCAAGAAAGGCAATGTAATCATAATACACTACTTGACTTGGTGGTGAAAAGCATGTTCCTAAACATAGTGATGTAAACATTGCATATCCTGAACAAAATCTTGACAGCATAGTTATATAACATATAACTGAAGAGAGGAGAGAGGGGAGGGACGTGTGCCCATGGGTAGGAGTGATGAGGCTTGTGGATGAAGGTTCTAAACCCGCCTCTCTCCTCATGACATCATCAGCTGTTCTGCAAAGTGGAAAAGGGGAATCTAGAAGTAATGCTACATGCTTGTCCTTAGGGGAAAAGGAGATAAACATGAAAGGAATCCCAAGTGGGAAAAAATGAGTGGGTGGGCAAATGTGGCTGTTTTTCTTAAGTAGAAAGACAACTTAAAAAAAAAAAACCAACCCTGTGCATGTGTAATGTTAATCAAAATAAAAGTAGATTGACAAGGAGGGAGGGGGTGGGGGAAGGAAGGACTGGAAGTCTGGGGTTAGCAGATGTAAACTATTATATATAGGATGGATAAACAACAAGGTCCTACTGTACAGCACATGGAGCTCTACTACACTCAATATCCTATGATAAACTATAATGGAAAAGAATATAAAAAAGAACGTCTATATATGTCTAGGGCTTCCCAGGTGGCTCAGTGGTAAAGAATCTGCCTGCCAATGCAGGAGACATAAGAGATGCAAGTTTGATCCTTGGGTCAGGAAGATCCCCTGGAGGAGGGCATGGCAACCCACTCCAGTATTCTTGCCTGGAGAATCCCATGGACAGAGGAGCCTGACCGGCTATGGGTCATAGGGTTGCAGAGAGCCGAACACGACTAAAGTGACTCAGCACGCATATGTGTATAACCGAGTCACTTTGTACAGCAGAGATTGGCACAAAATTGTAAATCAGCTGGGTTGTTGTTCAGTTACCTAGTCATATCCGACTCTTTGTGACCACATGGACTGCAGCACGCAAAGTTTTTTTAAAGTTCGTAAACTGAAAAGTGGCTTGAATCCTTTTCTCTGGTGACACAGTCCTTATAGAATGCTTTTCTGCTCTGCTCTCATGATGGGATCTACATGCTCTGAAATTCCATGATCCTTCTGACCTGTATCTCAGGCCAAAATGATACAGTGGAAGAGAGAGTAAGGCTCCCTTGAAAGGGAGATGATATTTGGTGGGGATTGTCAAGGCCAGCCTTTGTCACCCCTCTTCCCACACTCATCACAAAAACCACCACAAAACAACAGCAGCACAAAAACCCATCACCCTTCTGCAGTCAGTGCTCTGATGAGATCAAGACATCCAACGCAACAGGGAAATTTCCTTTCTCAATATTTCTACTCTGGCCTCAGTTGAATGACCACAGAACTCAAGCCAATCCAAAATTAATCAATATGGCAAGGAAGATGACTCTAATGAAAAAAAAAAGATCCATGTGAAATATTTTTAAAAATATCTGTAATCAGGGCTTTTTCTGCCTTGGGAATTTGTTTTTCCATCTCTCTCTTTAGCAGAAGTGGAGACATTTCATTTGACTATGTGAACCTATTCAAGGTAAACCAAGTTGGTGGACATGCCATGTAGGATGCAGTTGATGAGCTCGGGGCTGGTGTCGAAGACACAGGTCAACTCCTGGGAAGTGGCTATTGGCTGACTTTATAATTTCAGGTGTGCATCTGTGTGCCCCCCTTCAGGTCTCAATCTGTCAGGGGAGCCCTCTTGTGTCACCTCAGAATCATCTGTTTGCATTGAGAACAGAGAGCAGGAGAAGGAGGAGAGCGGACACGTCTCCAGGAGTTTCTGTTCTAACACAAGCTTAAGAACCCTAGGGGACACAGACAGACCGATCGCAAAGGTGAGAACTGTGATTTCAAATTGTCTGTGCCCTTCTGTGGTCTAGATTTTTGCCTCTCTTTTTCTTGTTAGTGTACAGTGTGGCAGAACTCACTCAGGACACCTAGAGAAGTTTCCTGGCATAAAAAGCCCCTTGAGGCAAGCAGATGCCTCAAACATGGTGCTGAATGCGTGGGTGGTAAACCATTGGGATGATCTCACAGTTGATTAAAAAAAAAATCCCAAGTCCCTTAATAATTCATACCTGAATAAAGATGCTTCCCAGTTGGTGGTAGTGGTAAAGAACCCACCTGCCAGTGCAGGAGATGCAGGTTTGATCCCTGGGTCGGGAAGATCCCCTGGAGGAGAAAACGGCAACCCTCTCCTTTTCTTTCCTGGAGAATCCCCCAAAACAGAGGAGTCTGGTGGGCTACAATCAGGGGATCACAAAGAGTCAGATAGGACTGAGCATACACGCACATTGAGTAGCGCACATTAAGTAATGATCTAAAATTGGATGCTCAGAGCTGGTTGGATAACGAGTGATTGAGTTTTCTTAAGTCCAGATAAAAATACATAGCAATCTCAGTAGCTTACTGTGTGTCAACAGGGAATTCTCCTGGAGTTAATGCATCTATTAATTATTAATGGAAACTGAGGAGAACATTGTATTGAGGTTCACACTCAGTAAAGAATCAGGACCTCCAGACCTTGTTCTCATTGAGGACCATATCTCTGATCACAAGTTTTTTGGTACCAATTAACATTTTCCCCCCTCCATTTATTTTTCTTTGCACTTTGTTGCAGGAGATTTCATCTGTTGGTGAGCATGGGGCTGGTTGTTCTCTAATCACGGAGGTGGGGTCAGGTTTATCTCTGTCATCTGACTCCCTCGGGGCTAATGACAGACTTCCAGCCTGCAGCAAAGGTCTCGACATGGGATCATTGGAGACTCACCTGCTGTCCTCCCAGCAGCACATCTCAACAGACCCCACACCAGGAGTTTTCTCAGATGCTCAAGAGCCTTCTTCCTTTGTGTCCAAAGGAACCTCTCTCGGCCATGACCTTGCTACCTCTGCAGCTGCCGTCTGTCCTTCCCTGGGGGCAAGAGCAGGCCATACAACCCTGGGAATTCACAGTGTGGAACCACAAGACCACAGCCAGGGTGAAGAGGAGACTCTCACACAAAGCTCTCCAGACAGAAAAACGATAGCAGAGGGCATGTCCCCAAACCTTTTGCCAGGGAACCCTTCATCTGGGCAGAGAATTTCAGGTTCAGTTACACCGGGGTCCACTGGAAAAATTCATCTTGAAATACCAGCTTTAGGACCAGGTTCAGCTAGTTCACACCAAGAGGAAGGGAAACACAAGTCATGTTTTCCTTCTGGGGGGCAATGTGGGTGTAGGGAAGGGCTGGTCCCCTGCCCTCTGGTAGGACCTGACAATGGGAAATGTCAAGGAACTGGATTCATGGCTCTAAAGGATGATGCCGTCCCTTCTAAGCCAGGGCTGCCCACAGAGATCCCTGCAGCCTCTTTGAAAACCCTCAGGAAGAGAAGTTTGGAAGGAATGAGAAAGCAAACTCATGTGGAGTCCAGCGACACCAGCAGCGATGATGAAGATCGGTTAGTGATAGAAATCTGATGCTTCCAGAGAAAGATGGTGTCTGTCGTCAGAGACGGTTGATGCTTTGCAGTCAATGCCATCAAGTGGGTGGCAGAAATGAACTCTATTCATGAAGCCCCTGCAGAGAGGAAAGCCAGCTGGGGGTCTTTCTAAGATCTCCCCAACCTACTCTGAAACCCAAGCTCAGCCTCACTCCTCCCCAGATGCCCTGCTCACAAGGCATCAGCAGGGCAAAGGTGGCAGTGATATAAAGTATAAGAAGGGTTGACCTGCACGAGGACTGTCTTGACTCCTAGCTGTGTCCTCTGCTTTGGTTCCTCACTGCCTTATCCAGGAAACTGGCATTGACCCAGAGAGCCACAACTGACTTGCTTCTGAACCAGGGTCAAGGTGACAGGTCTCCTCCATCAGTGAGCTTGGGGTTGGCTTCAAAGAGGGTAATGGTACTTGGGAAAGTTGGGAGAGCTTGCAAAGGAGCTGGGGTGTGAACTGGGCAGTGAGATACTTCTGTTCATTCCAGATTCCTCCAAAAACTGAAGTTTGGTCTTAGTAATTTGCCTGCTTAGTGGAAGTTGTAAATATACTTCAAAATGCCTATGATCTGGTGAAATACTGAGTGTCTCTCAATGTTGCACAAATGGTCAATGCTTATGTGTGATTCAATGACACAGCATGTTTAGCTTGTGTTCCTGGTGCCTTTTCTGTGGAGACCTCTGGAACCCTTGGTTTTTCCAGCTCTTGCAAAAGGAACATTGTGTTAAAAGTTGATAGAACAGTCTCTGTAATGAGTCATTTTTGAGGGGGAAAATTCACTTGTTTTCCTCCAATTCTCTCTGTCATATTGTGCTCTGAGCAATTTCAATTAGAGGGTTACATTTTAGTAATCTCTACAGCTTAAATTGATGCCTGCTCATCGTGATGGGAGCCTTTCAGATTTCTTCCAGAAGCTTCAAGGTTACAAAACTAATTGGAGTTTTGACGCTGTTTTACATCTTGGTAATTTTATTTTGGGGGCTTGGTGTTACTTTGCTGTCAAATTAAATCAGCCTCTGTATTGTGCAAGTCAGAACAGCACAGAGAAAATTCCCTAGGATTCCAAGCCCGTGCACCCCTGTACAGAAGAAAATAGCTGATGTACGTCAGTGGTGAGCAAAGCCTCCAAGTCACCACACTCTTCTCCTCTTTAAATGGGAGAGGAGAAACTTCAGGAGATCCACACTGCTGCATTTCAATAAAATTTTATACTTGCTTTTAGTATGATTTTGTACCATTTGGAATTTATAGCCCAGCTCTTTTGGCTTCACTTTGATGTAAGGATGTTCCTACGACATAGTTCAAAGGCAACGCGAAACATCTCGCACGGTACGAAGATGCTTTAATGCGTCCTTGTCTGTGATGAAGGACGGTCAGATTTCAAGAGTCTTCAAGTGAAGTTTCCAATTTTAGGGTTGTTTATACAGAAACTTTGTGGTAGGGTCAGCTTCCCCCAGTGACTTAGCTTATGTCTGTGGTCATTTCAGATGTGCTCCAACATAGCCTAGTGATTTCAAGTCCAGTCAAGGAAAACGTAAGAAGGAGGCTAGGCGTTTGCTTCCTGTACTTTCTAAACCAAGCAAAAGTGATGTAATTATCTACCCTTTGATTTATCCTTGCCACTGTAGTGAGAGAAGATCTAGCAAAATGGTCTGAGTCCTGGAGAAAGAGGGAGAGAAGGCCTGACCTTGTCCAGAGCTGACTAGGGAATCTTGGTGAAGACTTGGTCCCTTTCGGCACCTTTCTCTCCTTCTGGGAAGGAGAGAGTAAGACTAGATCCACTGAATGCTACTCTGGGCCCCGATTCTCATGAGTGTGGCTCGGAGGAGGGCCTCATGAGGAGTAGTCTTGCACCCAAGAAATTTGGGAGGGGGATGTGGGGAACTAAACCCAATTAATATTTTTTTGAAGAATGTGGACTCAGGGAAGCTTCTTCTAATTTTTTCCCCAGAGGTCCAGGTTTGGGGGGGGGTGCAGTCAACCCATTTCTAAATGGTGGCTTATAATGCAAAAATTAGAAGCAAAAACAGAACACTATGGTGTGGGAGGAACCCAGCATATCTGTAGGATAAGCTAGTTACTTTGTCTTGGGAGGCACTGGTCAGGGGGGAAAACTATAGTCTAGATCCTTCTTCCCGGGTGGTTGCTGAGTTGCTGGCTGCATCACTGTACTGAGGTCAGTACATCATAGCTCCCAACAGCACGACCTCAGGAGAATCAGGTGGGAGCTTGATCCTTCTACAGCCCATCATTGCTGGCTGCCACATCCCAACCTCCGTCAAGCATGGCAGAATGCTGATTCCACCCCTAACTCTCTGTGCCTCTCATACAAAGATGAGCAAGTCACAAATATTCCTCTCTCTGATGGTCCTTTTAGCTAGCTGGTGGCAATGTTTACAAGTGTACTTTACTTCATATCAACATGAATTTGTGAAAAGCTGTATTTGAGTGGATTAAAAAAAATTTAAAAATGTAGTTTGAATGACCCTAGAGGACTTTGGCTCTTAGAAATCATCCCAAGGTAAATATTTTTTAATGAAAAATTCTTTTATAAAGCAACAGACAATCTCTGATTTTATAAGTCTTAATTTTCTCAAGTTCTTAAGGATTTTCTTAAAATGAACTGCAACTATAGGGGTACATTTTAAGGATATTATTGGTGAACTATAACCCAGTTTGGGTTATCGAAAATAAAATTTCAGTATTATTGATTGATCATTGCTGCTATGACTGTACAAGCATGTGCCGTGGAATGGTTAAGGGAAAGCAAATTTATTTTAGGACAGGGCAAACTGGGGGTCTAAAAATTGGGGGTCCCCCTTCTCCCCAGTGCTGTTGATTTCACTGTAGCTTGAGGTAAGGGTCTTAACCAATGGGTGTCTCAGCTTCTCCCACAGAGGATAACTCCCAGGATGCTGTCACAGACAAAGATAGAGTGCACTTGGAATTCTTTCCTTCTCTTGGAGCAAGGTATACAAATGCCATGAACTGTGATATTCAAGACACCACCAAGGGTACCCCTCCAGCTGTACCTACACCCGGCCAGATCTCACTTGTTGACGACGCATAGAGAAAAGAGGTTTCACATTTCCCCACTCTTGGCAAACTATACTGTTAAGTGGCTCTTAATGTCATGTGCTTTTTGATGGACAACCTGAATCTTCTTTGATATAAGGCATGATGGAGATAACTCATGCCTCCTTGTTGTAAGACTTGGTAGAGACAACTCATGGTCTTTGAGATTCTGGACCAAGCTAACATACCCTCATTTCACAACCCAGGAGAACCTATGGTTCATCTTCCAAGAGGTTAAAAAAAAAAAAAAGACAGGAGACTGGTGCTTCTGTGTTCAAATCAAAACTCTGTCAACAGCATGATGGGTAACTAAGGGCAAGTTAAACTTCCCTCTCCTAAAATCCCTCCTCTAGAGCTCAGATGGGAAGAGTGGCATTGTACAATTGCATTGTGACCACAGCTCTTGCCATGACAGATGAATGATTTCTGTCTCATGCCAAAATGTATTTCCTTGCATTTACATTCATTACTTAGAATGATCACATTATTCATTTTTTCTCCCAGCATAGGAATTTGCATTTTGCACAAAAACCTGCCTGGTGCAGCAGATTTTGTAGTTATGGAAGCTGTCATCATTATTGGAATGTACCGCTGCTCAAATCTCCAGACATAATTTAATCTGGTGAGGAAAAAATGACCTGCCTGGCTCTATGGAGGTCATATTTCTACAGCCATGGCAAACAGGGCTTATGTATTTTTTCTCACTTCAATTGTGACTCCCAGAACACTTGTGAGGGAGATTCTTTGGCGTTTGAAACACTACATTTCTCAATCTGTAAGCACAGCTTTTTGCTCTTCTTTCCCAGATACTCCTTAAACCTAGATGTCAGGACTCAAGAAATCCTGTGTGCTAGATCTGTATGTACCCTGTACAATCCTTTTCATTCATGCTTTGTATGTATGTGGGAATACACGTAATTCAATCTGAAGTATAGGACATTGAGTGTATTAGTTTACCACTGAAAGAAAAAGAGCCAGGGAAAATAATCAGCTTCTGTCACTTGGAGCCCTAGAGGATGACTCAGTATTTATATATGCAGCCAACTCTTTAGAACTTACTACATTATCCGTTGTTCAGAATCAAGAAGCTGTTGGCTTCTTGGTTATTTGTTTAAATGTATTTCCTTCTTTATATGGTTAAATTATTTTGTTTTGATAAAAATAAAACTGAAAATGAAAATGTCTTATTTGATTTGTTAACATTTTAACTCAAACTGCTGCTGCTGCTGCTGCTAAGTCGCTTCAGTCGTGTCCGACTCTGTGTGACCCCATAGACGGCAGCCCACCAGGCTCCCCCGTCCCTGGGATTCTCCAGGCAAGAACACTGGAGTGGCAACGCAAACTACCATCAAAAATATATCCTAGATAAGTTGGATGTCTGAATATTCCTGAAAAGTTGACCAGACATTTTGTCCGCCATATTGGTATCCCATTCCACTCAATGAAAGAATTGGGTAATGGCAAATTATCACATTTTCTTGTATTGTTCTCTTTCCCTATGAGTCCCTTCTGTCATTGTAGCTAGACTTTAAGGCCACATGAGGGCACTATCCACAGTCCAATAATCCCAAACTTTTCCCTGTGGAATTCATGTTACTTGGATATTTAATATTATTCATTAATTGAGAAAACATCCTTACTTCAAAAACAATGCCTCCTTATTAGTATAAATCATGTACTCTTGGCAAGAATAGTAGATTTATTTTTACATACCAACACAGTATTCTATGCCTATACCTCCTGGAGCCATTTGAAGTCAATGGAGACAAAATGCATTGGAAGAAAAAGTGCGAATGGAAACATGGGAAGAGCAGATATACTGACTGATGGATTTTCATAGCTTTTTTTTTTGCTAACTCGTCAAATGTGTATAGTCATAAATTGATCTAATCTTTCCAAACTTCCATCAT